CCTTTAATTGCTGGTTTTATTTAGGCAGGGTTCTTGCTGGATTTGTTTTAACAGTTTGTCTGCTGTGTTTATCTAGGCAGTCTATTGCTGGGTTTAGCTAGGCAGTTTATTCTGTGTTATTTCCTATACCATTTCATGCTATGTAGCTGCTGTATTACTTGTTAACATCTGTTGCTGTATTTAAGCTATTTATCTGATAGATTCTGGATACTGCTCGTTGATTTATTGTTATTCTGGGTTACTTTATGCAGTTTTTCTCACTCTGCTGTATGGGGAATGGATGTCCCTGCTATGATGCTTTGGCTCTGCCTGTAATCTGTTTCCCCTCCCCGGGTTTCCCTGCTGGGCTCTGTTGCCCATACCCTTTCTCCCTTATTCCCCACCTGCTCCCCACAGCCCCTGGCCGCTTGCTGAGCAGCTTTTTCAACCGTGGCCGCACGATCACCACGCGGTAGGCCGTGCTCGGTTTTTGTGGCAGCGGCGCCCATTTTGTGGGAGCCGCGGCGGCCATTTTTCAGAGCCGAACAGCCCGGTCTCACCCACCGAACTGCCCTGCTGCATGCTGGCCATGTAGCCACCCTCCCCTCTCCCTATATCAGGGAAGATAGCCCCCTCCCTCTGGCAGCATGGCTACCAATGAGTACCCTGCTGGCTCTACGGCGTCCTGTAGGATTAATGCTGAGGTTGACCCCCTCCTGCTTCCTACACCAATGCTCCGGCAATGTCCTGTTATTATCATACCAAGGGGGAACCCCTCCTACAGTCTGCAATGCTGGACCTGCAGCGTCTGGGTATTCCCATAAAAGAGGGTACCTCTCCCACTGATTGAGCTTCTGTTCTTACAGTGCCCTGCTATACGCAGATACTGAGGGTGACCCCTCCTGTGGACTACTCTGCTGGACCTACAGGGTCCCGGTATAACCATAATGAGGGTGACCCCCTCTCGCTGACTACACTACTGGATCTGCAATGCCCGGTTATGGTTATATGAGGGTGACCCCCTCCTGCCGTCTGCACTGCTGGACCGGCAATGTCTGGTTACTTTATTATACGACACTACTGTACCTACAGTGTCCGATTATGTTCAGACTGAGGGTGATCCCCTCCCCTGCTGGTCTATACTGCATGGTATGCTTGTGCTTGTTGGGTGACCCCCTCTTGAATGCTGGGTGACCCCCAGCTGGCCGCACCAGGTATCACTCCGACAGTGTTACCTCTATGGCAGTTATGCAATCACGACTGAAGGACAAATCTCCCGTACCCAGAAGGTCACTTGGCCTGTCCTCATGCCGCTCACTGCCAGAAACCATCGGTACCCTACAGGGGACACTCCACCGGCCATCCTAGACGCTACACCAAGCACCCCTGGTACTCGTTGGTTAACGGATGGATTCATCAAGAGGATCAGTCTTCATGACGGAGTCCGGAAAGGAAACCGCAAACACCTGACACAGGGTTTGCACTCTATCCGGGACTAACCACTGGATGTCGATGACACGCGGACACAGATGTTTCCTCGGGACAAACGGCGCGTTACAGCTTGGAAAGTGGAGAAGACAAAATTCCCATTGGGAATGGACCGATATGACTTATAGGTATCGCCTAGTTGGTTTCTACCCCTGAGAACCGCAAAACGGCCCCTGTCCAAGCTGGACATCAAACTGACGGATTTGGCATCCAAGTGCTGGGTCTGCTAACGTACAAATTGAGCTGACACGTCTCTATTCATAGGGTTCCCCCTTAACTAGCCCCAGAGGTCTCTTGGACTGTGCCTGGACTCAGGATCAAGGTGGCGGATGGCTTCACCCAACCATGGAGAGACCCCAATGATTGGTTCCCTCACCCTCCGGGGTCTCGAGAACTGGCATGATTGCATTCGGTGCGAACCGCCATACGGAGAAGTTCTTTAGCTGGCTGCCGGACCCTCAGAGAGGCGAGGGTCGCGTTTTCTACGCTTGGTCTCCTTCGGGGCATATGCATTCCGTTTACCTACAGGATACTTTGGGCTTTGCTTCAGACCGAATTCCTTGAAGTGTTATTTCGCCTGGCCAAACCACTTCGGAGGAGTCCTCCGTGCTTTCCTTTTTGCTGGAGTTTGCCATGGGAAGGCAATCTACGACTCCCTGTCTTTTAATGTCCCGTGTGGGATCCACAGGGGTAGCCTGCCACGACTGGTGTCTGGAGAGATGTTTGGGTCCCTATGGCGGTCCTTATCATGGCTGTCCCCATTGTCTGGCTGAGTTGCCCTCTCAGGGTAGGATCGTATGGGGCCATTCACGCCCTATGTCAACTAGTGGACGACTCATGTGCATTTTCTCAAGATTCTGGCATTGCTAATGATCTCTTGGTCTGCAATCTACCCAGAGGAGTATACCGTACGGGAGCCCTATCTCTCGCTATTCCTCAATTCTAGTGGTATTGTGTGTTCTGCATTTCCTTGAGGAATGACCTGATGACAGGGACTTGCCTTGCGCCAGTTTTTTCCGCTTACGGTTTTCCCCAGTACATCTTGTATTTCATCGCGTTCTGACGTCATGGTATCGACGTAGTGTCTTCTTCCTTCTTGCCGTTCAGTACATTGGGACACTTTTGGTTCGGGGTGCTGTCACCTCAACAACTTTGGAAGCTGTTGGGTCCCTTCTGCATTTTCTCTACACCGCTGCTTGGTTTAGGGAATAGGTTTTTCCATTCTCCTTTTATTTCAGTCCTCTATCTTATATTGCTTCTGGTTCTACAATTTGGGCGTTAAAATTGCAAATATGAAGCCTCCTGTCCTGCCATAAAATTAGGGATTATTCTAGCCTCTGTGAGGGAATAATCTAAATTTTATTAAAGACAGGAGGTGAATATTTCCCCTCCCCTTTTCTTACGTTCCTTCCCTGGATTTGGGTCTTATTCTATTATAAATAATTGGGGATATTGTTATGATTTGTGAATGCATGGTTTTACATAATAAAGGTTATTTCTATTATTCAGTGACGCGTTTTATTCATCATGTTTGTGTTGTAATTATGTTTCGTCAATGCCTTTTAGTTTAGGTACATACTAGGTCTTCATAAGATCTGTAGACATTGTTTATTCATCAGGTATTATGATGTGCAAGTGATATTGTATGGATATGACATCTTGCCTTGACAGTTTACTTTAACGGTGTTTTCTGTTTTCTTGCAGTGTAATCTGTTTTCTCTCTGGGCTTGACAATTGTTTCTCTGGATGTGTCTGCTATAAGGTGTATTCGTTGGTTTCATTGCTCTCCTGCTTGACCTCATCAAAAAAAGAGGAAGTGGAAGAGCCTGCTTAGGGGTTTTATACTACTGTTACTTTGTTCTGATTGGTTGTTTTGAAAAGTTCTGTTAACTGTTTCTTTGCTGCTGGAGGTTTCAGTTAAGAAAGTAAAGCAAATATTTGCCTCCTGTCTTTAATAAAATTTAAATTATTCCCTCACCGAGGCTAGAATAATCCCTAATTTAGCCACACAAAATATTGACACTTGAGGTGCCATATTGAACTTCCAGTGACCAGTATGAAAGAGTGCGAGAGCGATAACACCAAATTTAACACACCTGCTCCCCATTCACACCTGAGACCTTGTAACACTAACGAGTCACATGACACCGGGGAGGGAAAATTGTTAATTGGGCCCAATTTGGACATTTCCACTTAGGGGTGTACTCACTTTTGTTGCCAATGGTTTAGACATTAAGGAGATTTTTCTGGGCCACACTGTATCAAAGGTCCTTATCCAAAATACCTCCTTTTGTAGTAACAGTTTTTTACGATCCCCACAACATAATGGTGGAGTGATGTGGTGTATATCCATACGTTTTAGAGAGGGTAATGGGTGTCACATGGGTGCTAGAAAATATTTGGCTGCAGGGAGTTCCACTTTGTCACTGTAAGCTATTCTTATTCTGGATCTGTGATTTCTCACCCTTTCTCGCAGGGGTACGTCATCTACCCCCAAATAAGACAGTCCATAGGAGCTTTTGTGCTGATAGACCATGAAATCCAAAGTGCATGTGAGTCTATGTCATATTTTATACTGCTTTCCATTATGTGGATGTATAAATTCTTCGCTGGGATCATATGCTACAAGTGACACACCCCAAACACCTATAACATCCTGTATGACTGATTCTTGTAGAAGAGGGATCCGACCATGAAATCCCATAAACTTTTACCATGTGTGTCACGGTCCTTAAGGGGTTGAGAGAAAAGTGTCTGTAATTTTGTTGTCACTACATTACTTTCTTTGTTTGGTCCATTGATTGTTTTGCATGACTAGTTCAATAATGTACTGATTAACTATATACAGATTAATACTAAATTATGACACCAGGCTTCCCCAAACTCCGACCCTGCAGATGTTGATGAACTACAACTCCTATGATTCTCAGCCTATCTTTTTCATTCATAGAATCATGGGAGTTGTAGTTCAGCAACATCTGGAGGGCCAGAGTTTGGGGAAGCCTGATAACACTGTAGTGCAAAATATATATTTGTGATTTCTGACTCTATACTGATAAAATTTGTATATTGAATTTTATTAAAATCCATCCATATTTGTTATTATACATTTATTAGAATCGTAACAGGTTTGTGCGATGGCCTTGAGTCAAGGAAGGAATTGTGGGGCATAAAATTGTGATATTGCCTCTTCTTGTTTACTTAGCCACCATATCCTAATATTATAAATAACAACATATCACTATTAGATAATTCTTATTCATACACCTTTAATACTGTCTCAATGTATATTCATAAGCAGTTGGATATTATTATTGCTATTTATATAGCTCCAACTTGTTCTGGATCATTTACATACATATTATATATAAGGTAAAATTTATTAAAGGAGACAAATACAAATTGGTAAACAAACAATAGCTTGAGGAGGACCCTGCTTGAATGTGCTTATAATCTAAAGGAGGTAGGTTATAACAACAAAATAGGAAGCAACAGGGTGGAAAGGCAGCAGAGTTGGAAGAGGAGAGTGGCGTGTGGACTCTGTAAGAGAGTGCGATTTAGGTTTGTGAAATAACCATTAACCTTCGGCACTCCAGATGTTTTTGACTACACCTCCCATTTTTTAATCCTACTTCCCATCTCTACTCTTTCTTTTATATTTTACCTGTCTCTTTCAACTATATCTTTTACCTATCTCCAATCTTCTGATCTTTCTTTCACCCCTACCTTCCACTAGCTTATATTCTATTTTTAATCAACAATTTAAATATACATAATCCAAGAAAGGATTATTACGCAAATATCTCTAAATCTCTAGATAATAGTCCGTATATTGATTCTTTTCTGTTGGTATCTTCTGTTAGCGCTTCCCAGTTTAGGTTTTTACTTTGTATGTAGGCTATAGTTCTTTTAAGATAACTATAAAGCAACAGTTCCGTTTATAACTCTTATACTATTTTTTCAGTATACTGTCAGTCAGGTCAGGAATAAAGTTTCAAAAAGTGAACTGCAGTATTTTAAGGTAGCCAATATAGCAGTAATACAGACTCTATTCTTGAGATAAATCGATAAAGTAAAATTGTACTAGTCTAGTAGAAACGCTGTGAACAGGAGATATTGTAGTCTTGTAGATACTTTTCTATACGTGCCAATTCCTTTGTGAATGCTTCTGCGTAATTCCTTATCATAGGAGAGGCTCAGAGCGTGGATATTACTATACGCTTAGAATCTGAGCCAAGATTTGCTATCCTTCGAAGCTATGTTGGACCCAGACTGGACGCTCACTCTGCTGTATTGCGCCTTCGCTCACCTGCCATGTGGGCCTTGGCGTGTTGTAGTCGTGTTGAAAATTGCTTTGTCTCCCAGATTTCTCCATGTCTCGGGTCTCTCTTTTAATTAGCTTGATATACCAGCAAGGAGTGTCAGCAAGATAATACGTCTGATATTTGGTCAGTTGTTTCCTCGGCTAGGCTAGTCCGTCCAACTTTCTCGGTCCTCTCCTCACTACAAACTGCAGTTCGCCATTTCCACTCACTACCACATCTATTCATATCACCACACCTGCACTCGATATCACATGGACACTCAGTGTTGTGCGTCCTACGTCATCATGCTCTATAGGGAGCTGAATGATTCGATTGTAAGAAAGGGTATTAACCACCGCATGGTATAATTAGAAAACTGGATGAACAGTAAAACCCACGAATGAGCTGCCAAAGTAATGAACAGTAAACCCATTAATGAATTACCAGCAGGATTATCAATTTGTAAGTGAACACTTAAATTAACCTAATAATACCTGCCATATAACTGGCTTGAAAGCGTAAGTATTTGTACATTTAATTGTATGCATTGTATTAATTTTATGTATATGCCAGTTTGTGTCTCTAGTAGTATGTGCGAACGGTACATAAAAAAAAAACTAGCATTTGTGTTAGTGTAGGTGATTTTGATCGGTTCGTTATCTTATAGTTTAATCTTGTAAGGGAGGTTAGTGAGTTTAGCATTGGTATGTTTGTACATGAGTTTGAATAGTCTATTTGACGTTCGTGTGTTGAATGGAGAACCCACATATGAATTGATAGGTTAGCAAACCGTTAAACCCACGACATACCAAACGTGCTTAAAATATTAAAGCAAAGCGCGAGCTGGCACGAAAACCCACATGGAGTAAAAAGGAACGTACATCAAATATGAGAACTGAATGGAGCCGAACGACAGCACATATAATGTAACGAACTAAGAAATGTGAAAGAAAGGAAGCAAATCCCCGTGGTTTTTATGCCCAAACGTGGGAACAACCGGAACGGTTTTTCCCATGTGTACATATGTAAACGTGCCAGGTCTCGTGGCCATAGCAGGAACTAACAGCAATAGAGTCAGAGAAGGCCGGAACAGGAGCAGAGATCACGAAGCAGCAGCGTGGGAGGGACCCAACCAGAAGTGCAGGTTGCCAGGGACACCAGGTCACATGGACGGAAAATGCTGCAGGTAAGCAGGGGAAATTGTGTTTTATAGCACAAACTCCTACCACAAATTCAGACCTTTGGCCTTCTACATATAAAATATATCATGTACCTTGTTTGAGACTCCCAAGAGGTAGGAAACAGATATAATGGGGAGCCATTACTCAAAAGGTTACCACTAGCTCGCAGTGGACTTTATGTGTGCACAGTATGTTGACATACCTCCCAACATTTTAAATGGACAAAATGGGAAACTTTAAGGTTAGTGGTGTAAATGGGAGTGTGGACAGAGGCAGGGCTGTTTTAATATATTTAAGGCAACTTACTAATAACAACGTATACAACTAAAATGTAATTCAGAACAAGAACAATGCCTTTTATATACACAGACTGATTTCTTAATACATTTATTGTAGTTTAATGACACATTACTGTGGGTACATTAGCTGTAGAGTTCTGCTATACACTCAGACACACCAAAAATATGAGCCCACAGAATAGAAGAACATTAGGATAGAAAACAAGGTCAGGGGGCTTTGGACCCATAATAGGGACTGTCCTTCATAAATAATGAAATTTGGAAGGTATGTGTTGGTTGCACTAATGACTATGAATAGAATTGCAGTCTTTATAATAGCTTCTAATAATTAGCCTTCCCAACAAATCATTTAACATTAAAGTTAAATACACAAGAGGAATTTTACATCTAAACATTAAAATTAAAACTATATTAGGTGCAGACATGGAAAAAAAATTATTTTCGCAACAAAGAAAAAAGTAAATCCAACTGAAAATAATTGTGCATGAAATTTTAAATTGGAAAACGTAATTGATTTTTGCTTTTATGATCCATACTTATATCACATACCATTCAAAAAACCCAACCACTATACATTTTGCATCTATAAATGGACAAGATACATTGCACTTAAGCATTACAATTTATAAGGATCATTTGCTCTTATTTTACTGACACAGGCTAACAAGTAGAGTCAATAGATAACATGTTTGTCATTCCAAGTAATTTGTGAAAAATGATTTGTTGCAGGTTATGCATCTGAACGTTTTAGTAGTTGGGTGTGGCTCTTCATTTCATCATGATGCATGGTTTAAAGAAGGATCATGAGACTGAAGTTCATTAAGTCCTTTTCCTAAACCAAAGGATTTCAAATATGATCCAGGAATTGGTCATCCCCAAGCTTGCGTTTTACAGTAATGTAAGACCAGTTTTCCATCACTTCCAAAACACTGTAGAAGAAAAGTTTAGAAATGTATGGTTATTACAAATTAAAACCAGAGTTTATTAACTAAAGCCTGAATTGTGATAGACTAGCATGTAAATTTCAGGTTTCAGACAAAATTATGGAAATTAGCAAAAAGAAGAAAAACAAAACTAGGATCTCCGCCGTTTCCCATGTCCGCTTTTACTTCGGCATAACATTTGCAATGCCCTTGTTGATTCACCACAATAAAATTTGTAGCGAGAATTTAGTTTACGAAGCTGAGTGAGGGAGAGAGAATACATAAAGTTGAATTGTGTATTATGGGTAAATGACACATTATGGAGACATCAGAATAAAACACAAGACAAAAGATCAAATTGTTTATGAATATCTCCAGAATATGAATTTTAATATATTCTAGAATATTAATTTAAATAACACACACATTAGGGTCCTGCAGCCTCCAGCAGTCAACTAACAGATCAAAACATAAGAAACTAACTTAAACATGCTATGCAATAAGGGAAGCTAAATATTTTTTACTTTTTCCAGAATGTGTATAGGGAGGTTGGGAGAGTCTCAGCCAGTGGAAATGTGGCTAGCAGTAAATGCATTCGGTTTCGGAGTGTAATCTGAATATGACCCTTGGGATATTGCTTTGTATAGCATATAGCATATAACATGAAGCACATCCTGTCAAAAAAAAAAAAAAAAAAAAGTACATAAGATGTATAACCCCTTAAGGACTGAGCCAAATGTACACATTGTGATTAAAACAAAACCTGGAATTTGACTATATGTCTGTTCAACCGTAATTCACTCCTTTCATATTAAGTACACCCACATTTATTATATATCATTTTATTCAGGGGAAACAACATAAAATATTTAGCTTTGAAACATAATTTAATATGAATAAAATATAAATAAATGGGAGAAAATAAGAAATGTAATTGTTTTTTGTCCTACATGACATTTTAACTGTGAATGTCATGATACGGTTTAAAATACTGCAATAATACACACATTTGTATTCAGCGATGTCTCACATGTAAAACATTACCACCTATGTACAGATTTTATGGTGTTTTGGGCAGTTACAGGGTCAAATATAGCATGTTACATTTTTCATTTTTTTCACATTTATTACCCCCATGATGGTATACCATTTGCATAATATTTGTTTGTGTGTGAAAAATGCAAAAAACTAATTTAAACGCCAATTTTGGCCAGTGTTTGTGACTAAGTAGATTCTTAAAAAGACTGGACATACCCCATTTGCAATACCTTTGGTTGTCTACTTTTGTAAGGGATATGCCATCATGGGGTAATTTTCATTCCTGGGCTACCATACTGTCTCAAAGGCAACATAACCAATCTGGCGAATTTCAATGTGAAAAAACTGAAACGCAAGCCTTATATTTGACTACGTAACTTTTGAAAACACCATAAAACCTGTACATGGGAGGTATTGTTATACTCAGGAGACTTTGCTGAACACAAATATTAGTGTTTCAAAACAGTAAAACGTATCACAACAATTATATCGTCAGTGTAAGTGCCATTTGTGTGTGAAAAATGCAAAAAATGTCACTTTCACTGACGATATAATCGTTGTAACACATTTTACGGTTTTGAAACATTAATATTTGTGTTCAGCGAAGTCTTCCGAGTAAAACAGTGCCCCCCATGTAAAGGTTTTATGGTGTCTTGGAAAGTTACAGGGTTAAATATATAGTGCTAGCAAATTAAATTCCCTGGACTTTTGGCCTGGGTTGTCAGGCAGGTCCTGCAAATTGTAATTAATAAAATGACCTAATTATGTCAAATTATTACATAAATATATACATAGAAATATATATATATATATATATACACACACATACACACACAGGGGGACCTCGGTGTAACGGATCACCTGGCACCCCAACTGGGTACCTCCGTTGAAGGATGCTCCTAGCACTTCCTGAGGACTCCAAGCACTGCAGCAGACACCAAAACCACCGAACCGTAGGAGCATTTGAATGCTCTCAAGCATATGAATGTTGTATACAGCCGAATAGGAAAAACCATGCGAATAGGTTTACACTCCTAGCAGTCAAACTGGAACAGCATACAATAAATCCTCCCCCAATAATGAGACGACACTTCACTTTGAGGGTTAAGCAGGAACTGACTGTACTGGCACATACAGCCTGTTTTATTCCCTATCCACAAATTTAGTACTGCCCACAGGGTTTTACAGAACAACCAATCAATCTGTACAATACACACAGACACTCCCACACAAAATCCTCCCCTCTGCCTGTGATATGATTACTGAACACAATGGGTAATCTAATTATCACAGACAGAGAAATACAGTTTCATAAAACACATCACAGGGACCCCAAAACATGCAATAACCCCATAAAAAGTATATCCTTGGAACCGGGGGATCTGGGTGAACCACATATCCAAATTCACCCAGATCCGTTCAGTACTTTGGAAGATACAGTTTAATGCAGATTCTGCAGAACATATACAGGCTAAATGAAAAACAATCACTGTATAATGTGTCCCCTGCTGTATAGTCCAAAACCACTGCACGATGTCTCTGTGCACCAAATACTGGCGAGATGGCACCGTGTTGAAAAGTCCAAACAGTGTCTGTGAGTTAAAATGGCCGCCATCCATTGTTCTCACCATGTGCTTCATCCATTGTTCTCACCGTGTGCCTCTGATACAGGAAATGGTGGCCACCCAGTAACTCCTCAGTATGTCCCCAGATATAGCACAAGCACAACACAAATCCCTTATGCCCACATCATGTCTTTAAAGGGCAATACATCCCAGGGGCCATAGTCACATGGCAGGAGGCTGGCAATCAGTCTTCTCCAATGCCCAGTGGCGAGGTCGGTTTCGCCACATTTCTCCCCTTTCCCAAAAAGACTAACAAGGTATCTGACCTCCTGTCGGTCAGTGCCTTGGTTAGTCCAGCAACCCACCCACAAAATAGAATCCGCAGTATAACCTACCCACGAAAATTGGTTACTACACCTGGAGTAGTGGGTTGCTTGTCCAGGTCCAGGAGCTCCACCTTGGCTCTGGGGGGTACTAGCACTCTGGATCGATGGGTTGCTGGGTGGGCAGAGACCAGCGGTACTCTGCCCTGGTGCCAGCGCTACCACGGGAGTAGCCTGGTTGGAGCCCAGGTGAGGGAACGGCGTAGTAGGCTCCTCACTCCAGACCTGGGTCTGCTGCTGGAGGGGAAGACAGGCTGTCTCCCCTTTGGATAAACAGCCCTGCTGCTGGGGGACAGGACCGACTATCCCTACGCCCAGTGGTGCATGTGCAGAGACCACAGTCCACTGTTGTGGAGATTACTGTCTCCCCTTGGTGGGCTAAGCTGCTGCTGGGGAGAGGGGGTAACAAGCTCCTCTCCCATATATACTTTCAGCCGCTGGGGAGAGGGGGTAACAAGCTCCTCTCCCATACATACTTTCAGCCGCTGGGGAGAGGGGATAACAAG